CTCCCTCAGAGCCGCTTTCTATGAGGTTTCCACTAAGTATGTCCACTATGACACTTGATCAACAAAAGTACGAAGAATTACTTGATCAATGCCGAGGTTAATAGAAAGTCGGTCGTGGCAATGACAAGGTATTCACAAACTGGAATACAGAATTCAGTCCTTTCCAGAGTATGTCACATTCAGGATTTAAGGCAGAGAAGAATAGAGATAACCGTATTGCTCTCTGTATTCACTAATTATCACCTGCATCACTTGTTCCACTGTTGATCGTTTGTGGATGGATTGGGCGCCGGCAAACTCTCCATTTATTTATGTCGTGTACCAGAGCCCACTGGGTTTTGCTGGCTCTAGGAGCTTGTAAAACACCATATCCTTTTTTTCCTAGATCGTCGACAAGAACGCTAACCATTACATCTGTGGCCTTTCTGCTATGAGGCGGATAACCTATGGAATTTAGTTGCCAATTACTCTTGTTAATGGGTTGCCTTTTATTTCCTATCATGTGTCTCGAGCACACGGTTTCCGCCATTCCGGTATTTACAGCTGCATCTTCGAAATTTGATCACCGATGTATCATTCGATTCCTCTCTCATTTGCATTGTAAAGGATACTCCCACCTTCGTCCTCGCGACTGAATGTCCAGTAAATTCCAGTGGTTTTTCATTATGCTTACTTAGTTCGACTTACTATGATGTGGTTTATTCGTTTGTGCTATTTTCCGTTGGGAGACTCTTAAATCCAGCTTTCAGAACGGAGCTTCTGGAATTTTGAGTTACCCTTGACATGATAAACTCGAAAGCCATTCACTCTGTTGGGGCTTTGGTCTAGGGCAAATCTCGGCATCGAACTCGTCAATAATGATATTAAACAAAGTGTATTTACGTGCGAAACAGACGTGAGACGTGGCAATGACAAGGTATTCACAAACTGGAATACAGAATTCAGTCCTTCCCAGAGTATGTCACATTCAGGATTTAAGGCAGAGAAGAATAGAGATAACCGTATTGCTCTCTGTATTCACTAATTATTATTTACGAGAGACGTGCGAAACAAAGGACCCGCATGGTGTGGTGGTGAACGCGTTACTCCCCGGAAAGGATAATAGCGCGTTCGTTCCCCACTATAGACACCTGCGGTCCAGAGTTTTGCAAATATCTCAGCAACGTTGTGGTTGTATTTCGCTTAGTAACCTGCCATGAAAATTATAGAAGGCAAAAAACAAAACGTTAAACAAAGTGTATTTATTTCTGCAAAACTGCTTAAACGTTGTATAGAACGTTTCGACGTCGTCTTCGCCATCGCATGATGTAGATGCGTTAACGAAGAAGGTTCCCGAAGTCAGCATTTTTCCAAATATCTTCAACCATAAGATTCTAACTCAAGTTGTTAGTCGCTCGAAGAATTCGGTGTTCATTTTCATATTCATTTTGATAAGGCTCTTCTACTGTCCCACCTTTCGGGAAACAGCTGTTTTCTGGGATTACAAATACGTCTGTCGATGATTTTAGCAACTTCTTCGTACTTGTTCAGCGCTATCATATCGGAGGCTCTTTTAGGGTAGCAGGCTGTTTATTCTTATTAAACCAGTGTTAAACATGGATGGCTTAACTAGTTCTCAGCGGAGTGGTTAAATGTACTCATTTTCAGCTTGCGAGACCTCCCCGACGTGGGCGTGGAACTTCTCATAGGGGAGGGAAGGCGATTGATTACCGCTTCCTGTGTAGTTCTGTGTTATTTGATTGCAGCCTGTCTACAAATCAACTTTTAGAATGCAATTTGTCTTTATGTCAACACGCTTGCACACGTATGCATAAACATAGCTGTGTAAGTGAAGAAGGTATGTGTCAAATCGACGGAACAGAAACAGGCAGTTTATCTACTGCATCCATTCGTGATTCAGTGGAGCACTTTGTTGCGGATAGGATAACCTGGTTTCTAAGCATAATACTAACTCAGTTGCTTAAACATATTCCAGCTCACCTCACGAACACCCAAATGTTCCTAGAACGTCTTCGTAACTCGTCTCCTAACAACGCGTACATGATGGAGGCATTGGACGTTTCCGCGCTTTACACCAACGTATCGAATGATTCCGCAATGCAAACTATCCAAAAACTTCTTGCTCACCATGAAGGAGGAATACATATGCATGACTTGCCTACTCAGCAGCTTATGCTTCTCCTAAAAGAGTGCCCAAACTGCTCGATTTTCAGATGGTCTGGGTACTATTACGCACAAATTAGAGGGCTGGCAATGGGAGAACTGTTGGAACCAAACCTCGCCACTGCGTTCATGTCTAAAATAGAAACCCCGGTCATCGATTTCTGGCCGCGACTCTACTGCAGATATAGAGATGATTGTTTTATCATCTTCTCTACTCAGAAGAAGGTGGACAAATGCTTTGAATTAGTGAATGAGCAGCCTGAGTATGTTAAATTCACCGGGAAGAAACCGAAAGAGGCCTGCCTTTCATTTCTTAACGTTCAAATCAACTTCTCAGCTAGCTTTTACATAACAAAGTGGTGCCGAAAGCCAAGCAACAAAAACATCATGGTTCTTTTCCTCTTTTCCCACTCTTCGAACACGAAGAGGGCGCTTGTGAGAAACATGTTTCGAACAGCCACCTCTGTGTGCACAATCAAGGAACTAAAGAAAGAATCGTGCGACTTGGCTCGGTAAAAAGCCATCTCCAATGACTACGAAATAGTAACCTCACGAGATAAGTTTACAAGGAGAACGACGCGTCCACGCGAAACATTTGGCCAAAAGAAAGTCCCGTTCATGTTGCCTTTTATAAGCGATGAAGTAAGCGCAGCTATAAAACGATGCTTAAGAAGGGCAGATCTAGAGGAATCGGTAGCGATAGTTGAAATACCACCGACTACTCTACGTCGTCAATTAGTTCGTAACCGCCTATATGACCGTCTGTGTGAAACAACAAATTGCGTAATTTGCCCTTACGGCAGGGACGGTGATTGCATGAGTTCAGGTACGATATACCTGATCTCTTGTAATAATTGCGGAGATGAATATATTGGTGAAACAGGCAGGCCTTTGTGTATCCGTATAAAAGAACACCTAGATGGCAAACGAAAACTAAGACGAAGCACCCCACTAGGCACCCATGGGATACAAAAGCATAGCGGAGACGATTTTGAAGTTAAAGTCAATATCCTTGCACAGGAGTCCAGAACACCAACGCGCAAAGTTCTTGAGGCTTTTTGGATAAATGCCAAAAACCCCTTAATGTATAGCAGGGAGGAATGACCAGAGGTCATACGCGATCTGATCCCGCATGTTCTTATCAATTTCTGATGTGGGTTGTTGCAGTCATCAACCACATGCGACTATAATCAGTTGTTCTAACCCTCCTCATTGGAAGTCACGAAAAAAGCGGTGAGTGTTTCGAGAAGCTGTTGATCATCTAATTGTCATAGAGTTTTTCGTCTTTTGGTAGGTGTTATTGAAGCTTTTCGCCTAGCAGATTGTATACCAGTATACCCTTCCAGGCTCTGAAGAAGGCGATACTACCGAAACGTCAGCTAGTGTTGTATTGTATTGTGTTTCTCTATGGAAGTAAATGTATGCTGTTTAAAAACCTCGCGATTGCTGAACAAGAAAGTAGTAACTCTGGACTAAAAAAATCAGCGGTGATATCCAGTTGTCTGCACCATTCACAGAATAAATTGCTTCTCTGAAGTGTATTTGTACAGTGTACATTCACTTCTTCAAAAGCGCGTGTGGGATAATATTCTCAAAGTTAATGTGACAATTTTACAGCGAAGAGGGTGTCTCATGCATCATAGCACAAGTAAACGTCCACCTTGAAATCATTCAGTTTGGTCTTTCTCGCGTTGGCTACTTACCTTCTCTGCGTTAACCAGCCACACCTAAATGATCAGCTGAAGGAAGACCCGTATAGGCTTAAATTGCAGCTAAAAAGGATGTATCTAAAGAATTAGCACCTGAAAATAAACGTACAACTTGGTGGTCCTTCCAACAAATAGAAAGCAGGTCGAGAACGGATCATCGCTTGTTTTCACGAAAAGTTTTTTCTGATTACACATTTTAATCTTCTCCAGTTCTGGTTAGCTGGAGGAAAGAATCACATCAGGATTTGTGGACAACAGAATAATGTCCTTCTTATCTTTTCACCTCGACACTTATACTTCCCGATCGATTCCGTTGTGCTGTTTTATGTCCACTATTAAGGATACAGTAGATGGAAGTCATTTATTTTTTTTCTGCAGCTTCCGGTACGTTATACTTATAAGGTCGACTAGTGGTTTAATCTTGTACAACCTGACAGCCTATGTGGGCGGGCCAGCTCAAAACCAATAGTCCCGGGAGTCCATTAGGGCAGTCAACTCCGAAGCTGAGGCCTCCGGACAGCCTCAACCCCCTCCTCCCATCGGGCAGTCCACCAAAGAAGCCGCAGCTCCCAGACCAGTCCCAGCATCGCAGGGCATCCCGAGTATCCGATTTGCAAACCACGGTAGAGACGAAACCGAAGTCCCTGGACAGCGTCCCTGGGTCAACCATTGAGGTAAATGTGCAACAGTAATTCTCCCTGTATCGATAGTTGGGTATTTCCCTTGATTTCCCCTGATCAGTGCTGATATCAAAAGACCCTTGGAGTACACGAGCTTTCAGTTGTGGTGATGTCGAGAGAGAAATGTTTTCTTACAAAAAGTTTTAACGTCACAATGCAAAATTTACAATTTTTCAAACACGTGAATTCCGGGACAGCCTTTCTGGTGTAACGATTGAAGCAAGTATGCAACAGCGATTCTGATTCAGTTTACAACACTTTCTAACAAACTCGACCTGACTTCTTCTTAGTACTTAGCAAAAAGTTCTTTTTTACTTTCTGTCTTTTTTTCTTATCTTTCATGTCTGTCATTCTCCGACTATTCCTTCAGTTATTGGAGCCAGAACATGTTACTGGTAAATCTACATCAAGGAATTGTCAAGAAAATGCTAGAACAGAGCAGTTTTTGCTATTTATAAGTGAATCCACTATACCTGAGCAAATAAAACTATATCCATACAATAATAAACATTTTTAACAAAATAATGTCAAACAAAATCCACACCTACGCAATTTGCCATCGATAAGAAATATTCTATGAAGGGCAAGTATTTCAAGAAGTGAACGTTTGTTAAGCACTGGACAAAAGTTAAGGGAAATAGAAAGATCAGACAACGGACGAGATGACCAGGCAAGAATCAACGCCACTAACGAGCCCTCCGTTAGCCCACAGCTGGCTAGGTCGATCGTTTCAACAGCACATCCATCAGCGATCGCACTAATAGATCAAATGGTAGCATTTGTAATCAATTATGAATCACGGCAAAACTGACTTTAACCACAATGATGGTGAAATATTAGCAAAACTTGGTCTACAGGTGTCTGCGGTGGGGATCGAACTTGCTATTAGCCTTTCCGGGGCCAACGCGTTCACCACCACACCATGCGGGTCCTCGGTTTCGCCTTCCTCTCACCCGTTTTTAAAAAATAATTTTATTAAAGGGCGAAAAACTCCAAATCTTTAAAATCGATTTTGTTCGAAATCGAAAATCGGATAGCAATTTCCTCGACTTTTGTTCAACTGGTACGAGATCTATTCTTCGACATCGTTGAGATGATAAGAAAGAATTCTTCAGAAAGTGCTTGAATAGCTTGAGACGTATTTGTTTTCAACAAAAGTATTCAATTCAATGTCATCAATAAAAGGAAACGTCAACCACCTTCTTGAGTTCAAAGGCAGAATTAACTACGACAAAATTCCGCAAGCCAACATTGTACTGTGCGTTCGCTAAAACGTCAATGGCCTTCTAGCTCAACGTCTCGAGCCGTTTACTCCGCATGCGTCCAAGTTTTAATTCGTAAAAGCACGTTTGACAAATTTACTGAGTTGACGACTTAAATCCCACTCTTCAAAACTTGTTAACAGCTCAATTTATGTTACAATTGAATTGCAAAGCGATGAAGGATAAAGCTCTTTGCGTTGATCAGCCCCAGAGCGATGCTCCATCCATTCGACTTCATAAAGTATCGCTAAAGGTGATTGAATGCAAATCCGTTCTATACAATGACTCGCGGTGGCTTACCGATGTATCGAGTCAGTGTTGATATCCTCCCAAAGATATCTGGTACCGATTAGCCTATCCAGGAAGGAAGGAGAGCTTGGTGAAGCCAAGGAGAGGTGTTGAACCCATGTGCACTGCAGGGCCCCTCTAACTACCGCATTACACACACTTCGACAATTAAGTTGTAAGATGCAAAAGTGAATGAAACTAGCCTTCAGATGACATGCATTCTAAAAAGGGCCATTGTTAAGATATAAATAAAGTCCAACGTTAATTTCTGAACAGCATAATCATTGACTTAATTTATGAGGTAGAGTTCGACAACAATCGTTTTTTGAGTGAACTGTCATGCGAACTGTGATGTCTTTCCAGAGCAGTTCGTTAGTTAAAATTTGTACGAGATTAAGTTCAGTTTGGTCTAGAATATCCGGATAATCTTGACTACGACAATGTCGCTTCCAAATCGGTTATGTTCAAAGTTATTCGTTCTCGTTATTTTTTCTTAAGGGCGCCTGTGACGCCGAGGTTAGAGGCGTCACTACGACACACACGTGGAATCGATCCCCGCGCCCATGGCTTACCAAACCTTCCATTCCTCTGAGGTCGACAAATTGGTACCAGACTGGTCTGGGAGGATAGCAGCACTGGCTCGATACACCGGTAGGCCACCGGAAGTCAATGTAAAGACCAGATATGCATTCAACCACCTCCAACGATACTTAATGAAGTCGAATGCATGGCGCATCCTTCAGGGATTGATCAACGCCGACTACTTTATCCTTGTTTTTATTTTTTCTTATTTTTTAAAAATGTAAATGGTGCACCAAGATCTTGGCTTTTAAGCCTTCAAAGTATACTCTTGTATCAAAAAGTCATATGTTTTGAATTGTTCAGTTTAATAGCGGAGATTGTTCATATTTGGCTCTAAGAAAGCTCCACTCGCTATTAATCTCTCACACTTCAATTTGTAAGAAGGATAATTGGATTGTTACGTTTGGGTATTCCGATGACTAGTTTTCACCAGTGATGGGATCTCCATTCGTTTCCTTCCAGCGCGATCATTGTCCATGGTGTTGGCCTGCTTCGAACATGGTGTCGACAGCGAGACACATTCCATAATCCTGAAGTCGTCCGCATCTGCGAATGTACGTAGTTGATCTCAACTATGAACACGTCCGTCCATCGTTTAGATAGATTTAGGCCATCAGAAAGGACGATTGGATCCTGCCAATGTCCACTTAACTGTTTTCTTCGGCCTTCATATGTTCTTTTTATAACACGACCGGATCAAGGTGCTTGGCTGACAATATGTATTCTCATAGACTCGAAGATGGGATAGGCTTCAAAGATCTGAACTGAGCAATCCAGCTAGACATTATGAGTGCCGAACGAATTTTTGAAGACATTGATCAAGTGGTCCTTGCCCGGTACGTAAAAAATCTGGAGGTGGTAAATCATCAGCTCACCTCCCCGCTAAATAACAGTACGTTAGGAGAACTGTTGGGTAGAAAATGTAAGCAAGGAGTTGCGGGTTCTTCAGCTGTTCTATGGCCTCCTTAAGATGTGCACATACGGGTAATATTGGTCTCCTACTCTGTCTAATTCCTCCTTCGTCTTGTTTTCCATGTTCACTGAACGTCCAACGAACACGAACGAAGTGGTCTCTTTAACATCCTGTGACCAGAGAGCCAACCTGTTCGCTTTGTTCACCATCGCACATTGGGATCGTGACATGTTTTCTCCTCACTTTTTCCCCACCATATTCTCATACCCACTCCAGTCTTTCTTTCCGCTTTGTTGAACTTATTGAAAGATGATGATTTTATCAGCATGCCGAGGATTTGGTTGAAATTTTCTTGCCATCAATGCGTTTGCTTTTCTGAACTCAATCGAGGAACTTCGTTATCTACTGATCTGCGGCTGCAAACAACATTGATGATATTGTGTCGCTTTGTCGAACCTTCTTCCTGTTGGTATGCTAAGGTGTCGATGGCAAAGCCGCATTTTCGTGGTACAGTTACTGTGGCAGTCCACTAGACTTATGTACGACAGATCCACTCATTAATCTACGAGCGCTAATACTAAAGCGTTCGTTTCGAAGTTCTCTAACATTTTTCTGGTCGACGAAGGATCGCTCAAGTAGAAAGTCGTACTTCTGGTAGAATTCTATGATGTGTTCCACAATTTAGATGTAGTCAGTGTAGCAGAATCCCTCACGGAGTCCCACTTGCTCCACCGCTTCCGTCTCATCCGAAGCCTTTGATGAGCACATGAGGATAATTTTCGTAAAAACTTATGAAGTGCACTCAAAAAGCATATTGGATGATAGTTCTGAAAATCCATTCAACATAACGATTGGCGTCTGACGAGACTATTCTAGTGTTATAGGTACAGAGCAAGAAATAGCCTCCATAGAGTTTTGTGGAAGTATTCGCTTGGTTAATTTCCAACGAGGTCTTGCAAAAAACATGGTTTGATCGCCTCTCCGAGGTTATCTCACTGTTGGACGTCCTAGATGGAAGGGCCTAGCATGCGAGATATTGAGGCCGGGAAATTGTTGGTAGGGCAAGTAGTGTTCCTGAAGCTCAGAAGGTCAACCTTATTGAAGCTTCGCTCAGGACGTCACTCCCCACAGACAGTCGCTGGCCTTTCTGAATCAGAGGGAGATTTACCACTTAGAAGTAGACGATACGAGGGCGACCGTGATTCCCCAGCAGTGGTTTATTCTTAGCTACGCTTTCTCATGTTAACGTCGAACTGCTTCTCAGCCAGGGAGACCGGGGATGTATAAACGCCTTGTTGTACATCGCAGTCCAGCACTGAGGAACACCATCCACCCCTCCCCTCCTTCTCCTTCTCCTTCTCTAAAGTACTTCCTAATCTCAAGATCGGTAGGCGACTAGACGCAAAATTCCAAATCTGCGTTTGTTCTACCTTACTGCTAGATGAAGACTTTCATCTTTTCCTTGTTCCGATTTTTTCCCTTCATAAATAGATGAGAATGGCTAATCTTAACAACCATCAAGTCTTTTTTTTATAGTTATCCCAATACATAAATATCGATTTGTTCATAAAGAACACAAAAGATTATGGAGATATAAGACAACTTTTGAACTACGGACCTTGCTATTTTATAAATCGTTGTATCCGAGATCGCATATCTTCCTGATTTCCGGTTATTCCATAAGCGAACACATTTCAGTCCTAATACGATATTTGTAAGTGGGCAACACTAAGCTTAAAAAATGTGCTATGTAAATAGTGGAACTGAAGAAATATTTTTTATCTACCCACCTGGAAGAAGTGAATCCAAGAGATTATCGGTGAAGAGATGAGGTGGTGAACATTCCTCAACTCCGATGTCCAATACAGACTCTCGATTTGCGTATAGAAATTGCTCCAACTGTAAGTGTATCATTTTAAATCCTATTCTTAATTTGTTCCTTAGCTTTTCCTCATTGATCCTTTAGAAAGAGATAAAAACAAAGACGTAGAAGAAAAATAAGGAAAAATACATCCACGCTTAAAATTTGTTCAGTACCACTGGCACACTATCTGGACTGAATTTGCACCAGATGAAGTAGATTTGTTGCGGTCGAAGTGTAAGTGATAGAAGAGAACGAAGGACAGGAACCGATTCAATGGGAATAAGGCCACGAATAAAAAGAGATTGCGTTGTCAGATGACGTAAGCGCCGCTTTAGACCCTTGAATGGAAGAAAACGTTTGCTTTTGATACAACTAGAGCACATTTGCTTATATTTTCTCTTTCGAATTATGAAGGAGTAAGAATAAAGGATACTTCATGTTTGTCTTCGACCAATACCTGAGGGATGCGCGATGCATTCGACTCCATTCGTAGCATCGTAGAGAAGAGCGAATGCATATGGAACATATGAAGTGACCTGCAGGTGCTTACTGATGTAAGAAATCAGTTCTGCTCCCCCACTAGACAAGTCTGGTGCTAATTCGACGATCGCGGAGACATGAGGGGTCTTGTTGGACCAGCCCTTTATCGAATTAACAACCACGTGTCTACTGCACGGCACTTCTGATCACTGATTACATTCACCTTTACATAACTCTACAAAATTTTCAGCACTTGTGATAAGTTTTCGAGGCTGATATTCCATTTAGTTAACGTAATGAATAATGAAAAGAATGAATTATGAATCAACTAAAATTAGCTCTGTTGCAAAACTGCGTCATTCGTTCATAAGTGGGAATTTTCAGTTATTGCTCATAGATGTGACGAATATAATAGAAAAGATATCTCAGCATACGAAGCACAGAAACAAACGTTAGGAGATTCAAAGCCGCTTAATTTTTTATGTATAATGCGGAAATTAAGGGGCGCCTGAAGAGTAGTGATTAGACGTACTCTGCAATACACACACGGATGTTGGTTCGACCAAGAGCCCCAAACTCACCAAGCCTTCCATTTTCCCACGGAGGATAGCAGCACCGACTTGATATATCGGTAGGCTACCATAGACCACATATACATTCCATCACCTTTAACGATACTTCACGAAACCGAATTAATAATAACGCATCCCTCAGGGTTTCATTAATACCGAACGCTTCCTCCTTCGTCTTCTAACATGGAACTCTATAATTTGAATGTCAACTGTGTTCGCAAACCTGTAAAGAAGGTATATCGTAACGAACTGGGCACTTCTTCTCGTCAACTGGGAAAATAAAAATTTCTGCTTCGTCAAAGAGAATTCGAATCTGCAAAGGGTGAGCAAATAATGGATTTTGTTTTACAAAGAACAAAGAAAATGAACTGTTACAACGTTGACATATCTAAAAAAGGACTATGAAGGAAACGATTCAGAAATCTTAAATTCCCAGAAGCGACACATTACCCGAAACAATCTACAAATGAAGGGAATAATGCAATGAAAGGATTAAGACCTGATCGGTTTGTAACTTTGGTAGGTGTTGCAGATTTTCCAGGATTGCAGAACTCCATCTTTTGCAAGTAAGCTCACAGTTCAACAACGATTTACAATCCAGAATGCCAAAAATACGAACTAGCACAGAAATAGGACATTGCTGGAATTCACATCGTTAACAAAAAACTACTGCAAAAACTTAATTAGAAAAATAAGAAAGGAATAATTCTTCCTACTTCTGTTCAGCAAACACGAGGTGCTATTTTATTTCTTTATTTACGTACGAGCTGACGTTTCGGCGGATTTCGCCAAAACCCCACCGAACACCCAAATGCTCCTGGATCGTCTACGTAACGTGCGACCCAACAGCGCGTACGCGGTGGAGTCCTTCGACGTCACTGCCCTCTATACGAACGTGTCGAATGACTGCGCTATGCAAGCCATGAGCGACTTCCTCATACAACACGAAGGAGCAATAAACATGTACGGCTTCTCGATTCAGCAGTTGATGACACTCTTAAAGAAGTGCCTAAACTGCTCAATCTTCAGATGGTCCGGGAGGTATTACACACAAATGAGAGGGCTGGCAATGGGACAACGACTGGCACCAAGCCTTGCCATTGCATTCATGTCTAAGGTGGAAGCGCCAGTAATCGACCTCGGTCCGTTACTCTACTGTAGATATATAGATGACCGCTTGGTTATTTGTTCAACACAAGAGGAAATCGACAGATGTTTCGAGTTGTTGAACGAACAATAGAGTATATTAAACTCACCCGAGAGAAACCAAAAGAAAACTGGCTTCCATTTCTGAACGTGTAAATAAAACTATCAGAAAATGGCTACATTACGAAGTGGTATCGAAAGCCAAGTAGTAAAAACATCCTAGTTCATTACCTCTCCTCTCATCCCTCTCACACGAAAAAGGGGATTGTGAGGAACATGTATCGAACAGCTACCAACGTGTGCACAGGAAGACAGAAGAGAGAGGAGCCCCTGAACTTGGCGCGACAAATAGCCATTTTTAATGGCTACGAAACCGTAGCTCGAGATAGGTGTAGAGAAAACCACAGGTACCCCAACGATAATTCTAGCGACAACAAGGTCCCATTTATACTGCCCTTCATTTCAAATGAAGTAAGTGCGGCTATAAAACGCTGTTTAAGAAGGGACAATCAAGAGAATTCGGTAACGATAATCGAAATACCACCGAGTAATCTAAGGCGCCAGCTAGTTCGTAACCGCCTATACGACCGTCTATGTGCAACACAAAATTGCATAATTTGCCCCAATGGTAGAGACGGTGACTTCATAAGTTCGGGTACAGTCTATCTGATCTCTTGTAAAGTGTGCGAAGACGAATACGTTGGTGAAACGGGTAGACCACTTTGCGTACGTATAAAAGAACACCCAGTCGGCAAACGTAAGCCAAGTACTCCACTAGGTATGCATAGCACGCAGAAACATAACGGAGAAGATTTTGAAGTAAGAGTTACGATCCTCGCGCAAGAATCGAGAACACAAGCGCGCGAAACTCTAGAGGCATTCTGGATTAATTCCAAGAATCCGAAAATGAACCGCAGGGATGAATGCCTCATTATCGCGCGTGATATAGGGCAGTATATAAACCTGTTAATCTGATAGGAGGGGCACATTATGCTTCCATGTGAATTCTGTGCGGTCGGTCCTCACACGACATACTCAGCGGAAGACTCATAGAAAGCGGTGAGTGTGCAGAGCTATGTTAAATGTGATTGAAATCTTGGTTTAGCGTTTTCTCTGTTTGGTTATGAAGGTGTTTGGCCGGATAGGTTGCTGTCAACTTGACCTTTCCAGGCTCTGAGGAAAGCGAAATCCGCCGAAACGTCAGCTTGTGCGTAAATAAAGAAATAAAATAGCACCTGTTTGCTGAACAGAAGTAGGAAGAATTATTCAATCAATGCCGAGGTTAATAGAAAGTCGGACTTGGGAGTTACTATAAGAAAGGATTATTATTTTCGTTTAGAATTCCACGATTCTTCTGACTCATTGTTTTTCGCGGATGTTCGAGGATAATCTACATTGTCTCAAGATTTTTAAACTCACTCAACATGAAACAAATTCCAATTACAAAGAGCTCTAGAAGTAGGAGTCTCCTAAAGGGTTTCTTAAGTTGGTTGAAAATACCGAGTGCTTAAGTTCGTATCGTACATGATTACGAATAAAGGATAAATTGTTCGGCGTTGATGAATCTTTCATGGACGTGATATGTTGTGGACTCAATTTGTAACATGACAGGGATGATTGAATACAAGTCTGGCGTATTCAATAGCTTTTCACGGCCTGAGTAACTAGTTCTTATTATCTCAGACAATTCTGGTGCCATTTACCTACTCCGAAGGTAAGGGATTAGTGCGCCTCTACTGAAGCGCGCACCTCTAACTGCTAGTGAAGAGTAATAATTAGTTCTAAGGTTCAAAAATTCTCTTAACAAAAGAAGAAAACCAGCTCTCAAAAACGGAAGACGTGAGGGAAAACTTCAGTGACCATCAAGTGTTTTCGATTAATACATGCATGTGCTGAATGAGGGTATTTTCCTTTCATAGTTCTACTGATTCAGGAATATCGGCAACAATTCTTAAAAGTATTCTAGATCAAAAAGGCAGCAGTGATTTCAGCGATAAAAAATGGAAAGTCAGAAATACAGACAAACAAAAGCATCTGTGATTGGGATACGGGAACAGAAAAGAGAAATAAAAGCATAAAGGATAAAAGAATAAAGCACTTGGCGTTGATCAATCCCTGAGGGATGCGCCTTACATTCGACTGCGTTGAGTATCGTTGGAAGTGATTGAATGCATATTTGGCCTTTACAATGGCTCCCGGTGGCCTACTGATGTATCGAGCCAGTGCTGATACTCTCCAGACAAGTCTGGCACCAATTTGCCGACCCCGGAGGGATGGAAGGCTTGGTTGGCCATGGGCGCGTAGATCGATTGCAGTGACGCCTCCAACCACTGCGCCACACGTACCCAAATAAAAACATACATCGAAAATTTCACTCACATGAATCGGAGAATACGGTACGCATGTTGATCTAAGATCCTTTGGAGAACTGTTTACTTCAAGATTGAAATTGCTCGATGAGCAGAAAGATTTGAACAGAGGCAGAAAACAGAATTGTAGAATAGCCACCAACAATTCACGCAGTTTCTGCCATATTTTCCAATAAACACTAAAATTCGCTAATACAGAAGTAATTTATAATAAGACGGCATTACATTTAGCTTATTCGCTAATGTTACTGGAAGAGAGACGAAGATAAACGAAGGGAACAAATAGTGGTACGAGAAAAAACTATTTCTTCTATGGAATTCACCCGCGAGGAACGTCTTACCTCTTTCCATCTGTGGTCTGGCGCTCCAAATCGCAAATTGATAGCCTTCCACTGCCATACGCCTACAATATATGTCGCTGTTACCTTAAAACTATAAACATAAACATTAAACCTTACTGTTTTTAAGAGCTTAAGAGATACTCTAAGAGTTCCAGGAGCGACTTACTATTAACATCGGCATTGGATTACAAATTCGTCGTTTTCTGTGCAATCGCGAGGTTGTTAAACAACATACGTCTACTTCTATACAATAACACACATGCAACACAACCGTAGCTGACGCTTCGGCAGAATCGCTTTCTTCAGAACCGTTTTTTTCACGTGCTTTCCATTGAGGAAGAGCCACTGATCAGCGTCGCATATGGTTGATGACTCTTGACGAGATACATTAAGCTCAATTAATGCTATTTCCAAGAGAAATATTTGGAAGTTACAATGAAAGAGAAGTTTAGTGACTAGTTTCACTTTGGAACATGCACTTTAAATCAGCAATCCACTATTGTGAGTAGTTTTTTTGCACTATCCACTTCTTCTCAGGTACGCTTGTGGCGTAGTGGTCGGAGGCGATGGTCCTGCAATACACATGGGATCGACTGCCGTGCCCCAGACTCACTATGCCCTCCATCACTCCGGGTTGGGCAAATTGGTGCCGAACTTGTTCCGGAGGATAGCAGCATTGGCTCGACACATCGGCAGGCCACCGCAAGTCATTGTAAAGGCCAGATATTCAATGTTTGATGAAGTCGAATGAATGGCGCATCCATCAGGGATTGATCAACTGGAGAGCTTTATCCTTTAGGTTTTATCTACTTCTCAGACCGTTGATTTCAAGCGAGATTCTTTTCGAAACAGTTTTCTTAGTTTGTTGTCTTGGTAACTTGTCTTTTTTCAGACGATTTTTGCTAATAGAAGTAGCCAGACGTAAATATTTAACAATTAAAAATACGAGGAATAAAAGATGCCTTTCGGTTCAGTATTGAGATGAGCGCCTTTGCAACGGAATAACGCATTTGAACTGAAAAGTGTAAAAAGTGCTCTATTATATGTTTACTAACCCTTAAGTGTGTCCCAACACAACGTCGACTTCTTCCATGAGCGGCAACCGTAACACTAATCATTTAAAAAATGACGAAAACGTGGAGTAGCTTAACTGTCGACGTAGGAGTTAGAAATTCATGGAATGGCTTCAGTTCAAAGCACAAGACACTGCGAGAAGAAACGGCTTACGAGTGAAATCAATATGCTGGCACGAGTGGCGCTCTCGGATAGCAGGAAACTCCTACACGAGACATGATTGCTCTAATGGCATTGTAACCATGAAGCAGAAGGCATCTCAAATAATAATAGACACATCCACAATAGACATCTCCATAACATAAACGTAAGCTAAGTACTCCACTAGCTACGCATAGCACGCAGAAACATAACGGAGAAGATTTTGAAGTAAGGGTTATGAACCTCGCGCAAGAATCGAGAACACAAGCGCGCAAAACTCTAGAGGCATTCTGGATAAATTCCAAAAATCCGAAAATGAACCGCAGGGAGGAATGCCTCGTTATCACGTGTGATATTGGACAGTATATAAACCTGTTATTTTGATGGGAGGGGCACATTACGCTTCCATGTGAATTTTGTGCGGTCGGTCTTCACACGACATACTCAGCGGAAGACTCATAGAAAGCGGTGAGGGTACAGGGCTATGTTAAATGTGATTGAAATCTTGGCTTAGCGTTTTTTCTGCTTGGTTATGAAGGTGTTTGGC